AAAGGGTAAGGCAGCAGATAGTGAACTTAAATGTAATTTTTGTTTTGGGTTTTTTTTTTTTTCCCCAGAGTTTTGGTTGATGAATGGTAAGTGAACCCCAGCACCAACACAGACAGGCACCAGCTTTAACGGCACAGATAATATTCTCTGCCCATTTTTATCCATCAGCCCTTGCTGTGAAGGCAACATTTCAAGGGAGGTATGCTGTCTTTGAGCTAATGAAAGGCTGGACAGTGAGCATGACTGTGGTGAAGATTTGCATAAAGTTTAGAGAAAATAAGAGACTGAGAATCTTGGTGCAAAGGGGGAAAGGGCAGGAAGGCATCTCCATGGGAACAATTCTGCAGGATGGAGAGCAGCACTTCTGTAAGGTAGGTTATATGGCAGTGATGCTTAAGCTTCCTGGTAAAACCTCTGGGATGGTTTTCTGCTGTAGGGCAGCTCATGTTAACAAAGTGATGCTTTGAACAGCTGAACGACTGACATGGTACATCTAAAGTTTACAGAGGCCATTTTATCCTTAATTATAATCCTCACTCCCAAAAGGTAAGAACAGTGGCAAAACTCTGTAACACTAGACTTAGACACTGCGATCTGTGACATGCACACTAAGTTCAGGCTGTGGTGATGGCAGTGACACACTGGTGGCTTGGTGATCTGGAGATTCAGAGATACTGCAAAAGTCTATGATTCTAGGATTCCCTTGTGGCAGGAAGAATGAAGCCTATAAAAGGGACTTCTCCCTATTATGGGAAGCAATAGTAAGAACTGCTGAGAAAGGTTTATTGGTTTTAGGAGATCTGACAAACTCGCTTTCCATTTTTACTTCTCTCCCTTGTATGTATTGCCTCTGTTAAGTAGTAAGTGGTGGAAATGAAACAAACCCTGCATAACACTGGTTCCTGTGAGAAAGAGCGGTTTTATTTCTACAAGTTTCAGAGGCACTGTGGCCCAGTGAATATTATTTACAATGTACCTTTGCTTTACACCTGACATGTAATGAACAGAAAAAAAAATAAAGGATGGTTCTACATATCTTCCATCTTCTATGTGTTGTACAAACATTTAGGCCTTATTCTGCATAGCACAGTAGTGCCTTCCAAGTGTGCCTACAGATATATTCACTAATCTGAAATTCTGATGCAGGCATTAAATACACTATCAACCCATAGGGATAACCACACTAGTCATATAAAAGCATCTACTTATCCACTGAAGCCAATGCCAAAGCAGACACCAGTTGATGGTACATCTGTCTGTCCTGCACAGGCCCCCACACCACAGTCACACACTGCTGAGGGCACAGCCGGACCAAGAGGAACAGAACTCGGATACAAATACAACTCTCTTCTTTCTTAAGTCAGCAACTACTTGCTTATTTCAAAGCACATTTCCTACTTGTTCTATGTGTGTTCTGCCACAACCCAAAATTAACAGCATATGCCACGTGAACCCGATGTAAAAACATCACGAGGAAACCAAAGCCAGACAGGCCTTGAATTTTGTTTAAGACACTCTGCAGTGTAGATTTATAGTGCAAATACCACCTTTGTTTCAAATCGCTCTTAGAAATGTCCAGCCTTTTTCTTGTTTTCTCAGGATTGTAATTGCATTAAAAATTTCCTGTTCTAGGAATACACTCATTTTTTTATCTTCCTCATGTTAAGGGACCACCTGGACATAGAACCCACCTGCACTGCATCAGAAACACAGAAGCCAAAGGGAAAGGAGACACAATACAAACATATCTCTTTCATAAGATTTATGTTTACATAAATAACAACATAAAATGACTAAAGGAAAAAACCAGAAAAACTTACCCACAGACATCTAGGAACTCTAGTTTGGGACACGGTAAGTGTAATAAGGGAACTAAAGCTCTTACCGTTTCTGGATTTAAACTTTTACATTTTTTCATAGTGTTTGTCTTTCGATTAAGAGATGGAAAGTGGGTGTGACTTGTATTTAAGCACAACTATTCTGCATTATTTAAGAGCAAGTTTCTTCTATAATACCTCAACTGTTCATGTGACTCCGTTTAGAAAGATGTTACCTAAATATATTATTCCCTGTTGCAACACAGCGTAGACACAACCACCTGCCATTAAGCAATAACAGGCAGCTTGAGGAGTTAAAAGAGTAACAAAGGGAACCAAAATGAATCAGATCTGAATTTTTTTTTTTGGTGGGAACCAAACTATGCTAAAAATATTTCTTTTAATGTTGGTACATAGTCAAAGGTAAAACCAAGACAGTGGTCAAATAAATATCTTTTAATAAAGAAAAAAGGAATAATTTTAAAGCACCAAAACTGTGAGTATGATGTTACATTGCATGTACAATAAGGTGAATGCAGTACTTTGCGTACAGGTTTATATTTCTGAATCATGATAATAAAAAAACATGAGATACACAGAAATAAACTTGCGTTGCTGAAAAGCTGCACTAAAAAAAAAGACCAAAAAGCAGACAGTTTTTAGGTATTGCTAGAAATGTCTGTTTAGTTTTTAACCTTTTTTTTTAAAACATACTTGTGCTTAACACTTTATAACTTTGAGCTTTTGCAGGCATAGTAAATTTGCAGAATTGTTTACAATAAAATACGATTTTAATATGTCCTTTTGAATATAATGGAGTTAAAGAACTTTCTTAAAGCCAAGCACAATGTGCTAGTAGTGTCTGAGTCTAATAATAATATTGCACAAAGCTAGTGAATGGAAAATTTATTCTCTTTAGATTATTTCTTATTTATTCAACAGGCTTAACAAAGAAGTTAGTTTCACTAAGCTTCACTGGCTTCATTCATGCAAGACAACTTGCAGCCATTTGTAAATTCTTAAGCTTTCCTTTTATGATGATACCTTTTTTATACATTAAGATGAAATTCAAAATATATGGCAACTGCAACACCATGCTGGGAGATGTTAAGTGAATATCCCCAATGTCCAACACCTATTTCCCAATTCAGAAATCAAAAATAAGTTTGTAATCTGAAAATCAAGCCAGTCTACAGCAAACTTATTACAAGATAGGCAACAGACTGGACTAAAAATCTCTGCAGAGTTTGGACTTTATGCACCAAAACAGTGATCATCTTTTTTTGCTTGTTTCCAATGAACACACTTCTGGTTAACAGCCTTAGATAACAGCTTTAAATAACGCTCTACGTTAATATTAGAAACTCAGCAGAGTAAAATTCATTGCTTGGTCATTTCCCATGATAGAGATACAGAGCATTCACATTTGAGAATGGAAAAGATGACCACTTCTGTCAAATTCTGAAGCTCTGGGCCACAGAACATAGAAGACCTGAATCACAACAAAAATATATAGATGTCAGGTTGCAGATTCACCACAGTCAGAGCTGTGAGTTTTGGGCTAACAGTCAAACTGAACAGGAAGTACAAAGACCTATATATGCAACATCCCTCCCACAAATATACTGGCATGCCCTCCCTCCCTTGACCCTCCTAAAAATTCTAATTTTAAGTATTTAAGTATTTATTGTATTAGGCGTCAATTAAATATAAATTTATTTTGTAGGAAAATTTAAATTACAGTATATGTGTAGGTTAAAAATAGCCATTGCTGTTGATAGCATTAATAGCAATATGTCAATGTGCTTATTACACCAAAGAGCAATTTGCAGTCAAGTTTAAGATGATCTACTGTCTGTCAGCTCCCAGAGCAGTGAAATCATGCAACAAACTCTCCCAGTAAGGTGCTTCTGTTACTCCTTTTCTTTGCAAGAAGCTTTGCTTGTTCTTAACATTAATTCTGTAGTGAGAAACATAACAACGTATTGTCCATGCTTATGGAATTGTTACCAGAAATATATGCAGGTAATTTATTACATAAGCATTACAATGAAAATAAAATCTGATTACACGCATAAGCAAACTTGATTTACAAATTACACTCTTGAAATTCAGTGCAACAAATGGAACAAGAGTAACATTAACCAATAATGTTTCTGCTTCCTCAGTAAGTTGCATCTTCAATAATGCATCTGTCATTACTTTAATATTAAACAGTACAGAATATAGTGCTCATACTCAAAATGATTCTTTACAAATAATATAGTGAAGTATGTTAAGTTCTATCCCCAATGCAGTCACAAAAGAACACAATATATAATCATACTAATTTATTTTACAAGTGTCTGGTGTAGGATGCAGACTGTCAGATTTAAAACAAACAAACAAAACTCAAAAGTGATGTTTGAAAAATAAAAAAGCCTTCATCTACCCTAGACAGATAACTAGCATATAAAAATAAGTGAAGTGAGTAAGACTATTGGTCAACTGTAAAGGATCTGGAACCTCTGTGAATGAGAGCATGAAATTTTTGTTGATGAAAATTCCATTTCTGAACAAAAGACTACTGCTGTTTACATTTTGGTTATTTTAGTAGAAACTGAGTATTTAGTTTCTTGTTCCCACTCAAAAAAGATTTTTCAGTCCTTACATAAGCATTTGTACAATAAACATTATGCATTCCAACTCCTTACCTCACAGGATCAATTACACCATAGTAAGAGTTTTAATTTGAACAAAGAAAGAAGAAAGAAGCTTCTAAAAATGGAAAAACCCCAACAGATGACAAATTGCTTAAGATAAATAACTAGCAATGGAACAATGCAGTCACAACAATGAAACGAAAAATACCAATAGTCAGAAAGGTCTTTTTATGGAGGCTCCTTGCACATGTTTCTGTGTTTTTTCTTAGTGATGCTTGCCAAGATTTCTCAAGGACCAATGCAATTATTACAGCTTTTCTCAGCTATGGAGGAACCGACCACAATGCAGGACTGTCATAATTTCCATAAAAGTTTCTTGTGAATATAAACTTTCCCCATTTGGTGCTGTAGCCATCCAACTGGAAAATTTCACATTACAAAGGATGGAAGTTTTATGCATTAGCCTGTGTACACTACATATGCACAATTTTTATATCAAAGTGGAAAATTATGTGAAATTGTGACATCTAGTGACTCATGGAGGATTAAAATTCAGGATTTTTTTTTTTTTTTGAGCAGGACATGGAAAAAACCAAACATTCACTTTCCACGGAGAAGATGGCAGTTTTGAACTGATACATACTGCTATGCTCAGCATAACAACTACTTTTTGTGTGCGCATAAAATACATGCTCATATGAGAACTCCATTTCTATACAGACTAAGCTATTACAGGAATCTAAGATTTCAGCTAAATATGAAACGTAACTTTTTATCAATCATGCACACATTTTTCAAGGCAAAGATAACAGATTACATGGCAAACATATCTGAAAACTGTACTACAGTACAGCATGGAGCTATTTAGATAAATCACAACACAGTGGTAAACTGCAGACAAATGCTGTGCAAGGGAACCACTGCACCTATACTTTAAAATTACACTATTTTTCCTCGGCTTGGAATTTTACTAGTGTCCCATATGCATATGCCAAGGAATAAAACTGCAGGCTGAAAAATAGGAAAAAACAGATATAAAAGTTGCTCATTCACAACTGGTAATTTTGCACTAAGTTTCAGATGAATTGTATAATGTGAATTACCATTCTACATCATGGTTCTGCTCTGTGCTACAGCCAAAAATTTATTTCATTACCTTGGTTTTAATGTGTGGTGATTGAAATTACAAACAAATATAGAGTAAAAATACACCACAGATTATGGTATAGGCTGTGTCAAATGATTATGCTGAACTTTGAAATTGCTACTATTGCTGCATGAACACAGCATTAGGCAGCTTGCATCCATACCATGTAACTCAGAGCTCAGAGAAGCAGTTTAAGAAAAATACATCTATGTAGTTTTAGGCCTGTGGAAAGCCAGTATCAGGTATTTCACAGAGCTGATCTCATGACTGAAAAACAGAGACCTGACAACTAATTAAGCAAAAATCAATACAACTCTGCATTAACACTGCTTGCAGGTGCTTTGAAAATGAATGTTCACTAACTTTATAAGTAAGGCAACATGGTTAAGAAAATCCTTTCAAGATGTTTGACAGAGCTTTAATTTTCAGACAGCCACAGCAAAACAACTGAAGGGTCCAAGAGCTGAGGTTCCTTTAGGTTATACAGCCTATTGCTAAGGTAAGTTCTCCTGCTCCTCTTTCTGTAAGTAAACGGCAAGACATGAAATCCCCTGTTATAAATTTTAACACAGTACATGTTCCATTACATGACAGCAGCAATGAGTAACTCCACTTAAAAGAACCCAAATCCCCATAGTAGTTTATCTGTCAAAAGAGGAACAGTGAATGGACCACACTACACAAAGGACAGGGACTGTGTATTTCTCAAACACAGTGTATGTTACACTAGTAAAAACAAAATTCTAGAGAAAATTCAGTTTTATTAGAAGTGTAATGGGCTGACTTTAATACCACATGAGGTTTTTAAGCGGTACAAGGCTATTTGTATCTTTGTATTGACATACCTCTTGGTACTGTGGTATCGTAAGAGTAGCTGCCTGCAGCCATTAGTCATGAAGTTTAGGACTACTCCTAAGTATTCACTGCAGAGGAAGTTGTAGCCCTCCTTTACAAATAAAACAGTCACAATCAAAAGAACCAGTTTTCAGCCAGTAGGCTTTTGGGTATGAAATACAAACATTTCTGCAGCCACTAAAGGGAATAATGAAAACCAGCAGCAAAAGCATGATTTTCACAACTGAATTATCAGTACATTTAAGTGCTTTGATCTTTTTTAAAGAAGGCTGCTTAGACTAATCAAAAGCCATTTTAAACTAAAAGAGAAAAATATTTTTAAGTATGAAATTACAAAATATTGCTTCTTATAACAAATGATAAAAGTATAACTAACTTGGTTCAGCATAGCTAAATATTATTTTAAAAAAGCATGAAAATGTCTACTTTAAAAAGATGTCAGACTACAAATGACCTTCTAAAAAGGTGCTGCAGTATGTCTTCCTAAATGTATCATGATGGAAACAAACACATTCTCGAATATGTACTGAATTCAATTCTTATTTCTCATTGTGCTGTGGTCACTTGTTGCTTTTCACACTGACATACAATTCTTCAAACTAAGAAGAAAAAAAGTCTCAGTTGCATGTTACTGAATTTCAGCTACTGTAGTGCAACTAGAAATTCTGTTCTTTCTGGAATATCACACTGCTACACAGCAACCTTCTCTGCCAGGAGCCATTTATTCGAATTTTCAAGCACATGAGATATTCAGTGCAGTGAAGGGGACATTTTCCAGCCGGTTTAGAATCCTAAGGTTACTCTAACAGCACATAGTCACCCAACTCAAAATGCCCCCCTCACTTACCTGGCCACACATTACTAACGCAAATATAAAAAGTGCTTAAGAATTGGGCATTCTTGATAGTATAAAATGTACATCTAAACAACTTAGCTTTCTGCCCAAACCAGGATTTGTTTGAACAAATAAAGAAAAAAGTGTCCTGAAATTAACATTTCAGGCCATTTTTTCCATATACTGAATTATCTGTCAAAGAAAGACTTTCTTTGCCAAAAAAAGCCTCCTGTGGAATTGATGGTCAAAACTGCTGGCTCTGAATTTTCAGAAATGCAGAGGAAAAGTAATCTTCAACTGGGGTTTCTTTTCTCACATCGGTGGCTGTCAATCACCTGTTTGGGAAAAAAGAAAAAGGAACATCTGAAAAGCTAAACAGCTGTACAAATATTCTTTGATCAACATATCAGGCAATTCTAACATGCAATACTGAGCAGTGTTGTACTGAGCAAAGATTCTCGTTGCTTCCAGGGTAATGACACACTAACGCTGGAGCCAGAACACACATAGTATGACCAGGTCTTTTTTTCTGCCTTCTTGTATTACTGGCAGTGAATGCAGATTAGAGTTTGAAGAGGCTCAAAATACTGCAATTAGAAGATTATAGAGAGAAAAAGCTCACTTGTTATCTGTTACTTTGTCCATCACTCACAGGAACCCACGTTTTTGCGTTACTTAGAAGTACTCTTAATGTACTATAGTGGTTTATGTGTACTATTATGTACACACATATGTATATGCTTTGGACGCTTTTGATAACCAGTAATCTTCTGGATTTTTCACACAGAAGCTGCTGCATATTTGTATTACTTGTTCAGCTATTTCAGTACACAAAATGCCTCAACATCTTTGCATGTGGTTTAGAGTGTCTGTAAGGAAGAAACTATTTTTAAGGAAGTTAGTCATAACTTTAGGTAGAAGTTAAATTACAGAGTAGGTAATACAACAGATGACTAAATCTCCTGCAAGAATTAGTTACTATTAGTTTGTCTTCAAACTTCAATAATTAATGAAACCTCTTCAGGGAGCACTGTTAATACTCCCTGCAGATGCTTCAAGACGTTTTTTGGCTCTTGATAGATATACATCACTGTTTCAGATTTAGCCTTCGTTCCTAAGGCAAATAACTGCATTACATTTAGCCTATACAAATGTACATGTAATTAAGCACAGTTCACAACACGTGTGCCAATATACTTTAACACATGTGCCAATACACTTTTGTATAACTGTTTTCAATCTAAAACTTCTGTGCTAGTTTTTGGCATGTGCAGAGCTTACCAGTTAAAAATCAGTAGGTCAATCTTAAAGCACGGTATTAAATGGATGACCTTATAGTAAAAGAACACTAGTCTGCAATTTCTACAACAGACTTTCATTACATTTTATTCTTGTATAATGAATTCTATTAAGTCAGTCTGGTCAAGCAAGCACACTCATCTACATGGAAAATATTTATTCAGCTGAATTTCTCAAGAGTTTTGTCTCCCTCTCTGTTCTCCCAAATCACTTCACATGCTTCCATAGCAGGGGCTTGCTTTTCCTTTCTGAGCTGTTGGCTGTTTTGTACAACTATTTTTCAGTTGAGACTATTATCTATTGAATAATCTCACCGCATGAAAATAGCGTTGCTTTCATAATAAAATATGACACTGGTAAGTGAAAGCAGGTCCCAGATGTATGAAGAACTCCCAAGGAGCACACACTCAGAACTCTGACACTGCATCCTGCTTTTAGGTCCAAGTGATTTCATGGGACCCCAGAAGGATATAGGCTGGTAAAAAGGAGACAACAACCAGCATACTAAAGGGACTGCATGGCAGTGATTTTCAGCCTGCATTCTGAACTGTTTTATGGGCCTGCAAATAGCAGATGAAAACGTGTATTCATATTGTATGGCAATGACCACAGAAGAATTCTAAGACAATGCACTTCTAATAGAAAATGTTTAAGAGGTCAACCAACTAGATTGAAAAAATGTAAAGTCACTCCTGGAAAATTCCTGTTTATCTTGGGAAAAAAAAAAAAAGCAAAGATGATCCTAAACAGTAAAAAAGATCTACTAAAATCATAAAGTCAAATCACAAATTTTAAATTTGGTCCATTATCTAAGAAATTAGAATAATTGCACTAAGAAAGCCAAGTCAGTTCCAAGACTTGTCCTTTCTTACAGTTGTCAATTGATTTCTGAAGGGCTGTGGTAGTGGGATTTTTCAGTACACATGGATATATCCAAGCAAATATATTTATATCCAAGCAAAATTATTTTCACTTTGAGTTTCAGCAAGAGTTAAGTACATCTCCACTCCTGGATTTTCAACTCCAAAACTAGCAGTACATTTAGTACGGAATAGAGGGAGCAAGGTATAATTAAACAGTAGTAAATCATTAGGGTGGTTAATGGCTAGTTCATGAGGAAATAAAGGCAACATTTATCTTCCTTTTCAAAAATTTTAAATTATTTAAAAATAGCATACCAATAGAACAGTTTGAGACATAGTCTTTCCTATACACAAGAACATTCAGCAGATGATATGCTAAGTTCCCAATCAGTTTTTAAACAGCTATAGCACTTTACCAACAGTCATTCTCCAGCTACAGTAGTAACTAACCAGGGTAGAAATGCCAGATTGTGAACATTCAAAAGTTATCTGTTTTCTACTGCTAGCTGTGTTGCAAGGATTACAAATATTTGTCTTCCATTCTATTGAAATAGCCTTTGATTTCTAAACAGATTTTTAAATTCTTTACAGATTGTCATACCTCTGGTTTCTCAAATTTTAAGTTTAGTGGGAATCTTCACTGATACTTAAGTTCATCCACGTGCCAGTAGCAGAAAAGAACCATCGCAGAACAGTGCCGTATGCTGCTGCAATCAAGAATCTCTTTTTGCTACTGATGCAGACATACATTTGAAAACTTATCTCTTGCCAATTTTTAGTTTGTTGTGAAATCATTAACTTCATCTGCTGAAGTTTGTACTTTCAGGCACTCTAGCATAGTATAATGCAAGTTCATGGAATTAATATGAATAGTAGAAGTATAAATTAAATTTTTGTATATTTACTGTTTATAGCCTGGAAATTCAATTAAGTCAGAGATTTTACATATTGAAACCAAGCTATCACAAAGTCAGTCACACAGGGTAACCCATGAGATTTCAACGTGTTCAGCATTCAAATTTAACTGTCCTTCACTTAAGAGTTATTCAGCTTGAAGTGACAGACATGCCAAATTTTTATAAGGCTGGAAGTAAGTCAAATGTAAGTATAAGGTGCGTCCAAGAGCGATTGTGCTGCTTTTTAAAGCTTTTTGGTAAGCTGGGAACTGTCCCTTCAAATTTACTAAATAAAATAGAGCTTTTTCTAGGAGCAGTCCTGTCAATATTCAGCAAAAGTACTCAAACAATAAAAAGCTCAGATATTATCTAAAAAAGTTTTCCTTATTATAAACCTTAAATTCTTTGGGAAGTCAGTGATACAAAATTCATGTATGTTTTATCACACTGGATGACAAGCAGTTTAGTCACATAAGTACTACGTCTCCTAAAATGAACAACCTGAGGTTTATTTGCTATGGTTATAGAAAAATTGTTGCAGAAATATTTTTTTTAAATGTAGTTTAATTACAGGTTAATTTTCCCAGTCTGTGCAAGGCAAGCTCTCCTCTTCATCCTCTGACTCAGGTGATGCTTCCTTAATCCGCCGCAATGCTTCATGGATGCTCCTTGTCAGAGGGTCAGTATCAGGCAGAATTGTAAAGGATTCTCTCAAAACATCTTTCTGCACTTTCTTCAGTTTCACTCCTTTCCTGATCTGAGCCAAGATGTTATTACTATCATCTTCATCAGGAAAAGGAGGAAGACTTCTCTGCTCAACTTTTCTTAAGTGAAAGCTGCCACGTTTCAAGGAAGCCAGCACTTCATCCATTGGGGAACTCACTGCAGTAAATCAAAAGACCTTCAGTATTATTTTTACTAAATTTTATCAGCCTTAATTTTTATTTTCTAGAGATCAAAAAGTAGCTACATACTATCAATGTGATGGTCCCTCACCATAAGTATAATGGTTCCCCCAACACCATTTCCGCCTCTATCTTCCTTACTACCAGGTCAAAATTGGTTTATACAGACAAATAATTTTTGTAACCACTTAACTTCCTATCAGGCAGGTAGTAAAGCTTTTTGAAAAAGTGGCTTTCCTGGTTGCAATCAGGAAAATCAAATAAGCTGCAATGAATCCAACACAATGGAAGTATTTTTTTTTTTACTTTAAAACTCAAGTAATGAGTTTTACCTTAGGCATTTAGGTACCTCAGGTACTGGACTGTGCAATCCATTCTCATCACTCACACTATACGGCTAATTTTGCCTGCTGCATGACTACTATGACATGCCAGTGAGGGAAACAGCAATACAGACAACTGCAACAGCATGCATTTTCCTGCTTCTCTGGATTCACAAACGTATTAGCACCTAGTCACATCATGCCTATAAAAACTCCCTTCCTTCATAATTAATTAAACAGAGAAGTAAAAGATAATACTTCATGGCAAATCCTTCCTTTATCCCTGATTTTGAAACTAGTTTTCTGAAGAAATAAACACGGGCTTTGGGTCTTTGAAGAGCTATAAGGAGGCAAGATCTCCACCCCAGAGAATGTGTTATAATAAAGTACAATGGTTTAAATAGCTCACATACACTAGAACATAAAATGTGCAGCACTTAAAAATCTATACCTGAATATCCATCTCCAGGGTTTTTTTTTATACTGTAGAACACACTTTTTAAAACCTGTTTTGCATTTATGAGTAAACTCTGTCCATTAGAGTACAGGCTTGGACAGTTAGAACAGACATGAGGAAAAGAGAGAAATAAAAGAATATACGACTGCACATTTGAGAGTGGAAAGAAGGACTGTAAAGCACTTGTTTCTCATACACAGACAACCTTCTGAAGCCACTGAGAGACTTGGAACATCTCAGGGGATACAGATCAGAGGTAGAGTGCTGCTGCAGACAGTAACAATACTCTTAAGAGGGATGATGTAATTTGACTTTATATTTATCGTATTATGATGTATATAAAACTGCACGCGCAATAGGTGCTTTATACAAAATCGCAAGATAAAATGTAAAATAAACAATAGGACTGCAGAAAAATCATTGTTACTCTGTTATTAAAAAAACACTGCATCCTCAGGTGAAGCATATAATATTCGCAGTGCTGGCAGTAAATAGATACAAAAAAATTCTTTTAGACAGCATTTAGCTCCATTTTCTATCTAATCTAATGTGGTATACCACAGAGTCAGTCTTTTAAGTGTTTTTTAACTGCTCAAGTATGCCACACTGTCATAAAGGTCCTAATGTTTGAGTTGCCAGTATCTGTCAACTGAAAAGGATTTAACAACTTTCTTAAAATCACAGCACACACTTTCCTACAGAGCAATTCAAAAGAGGAATGGACGTGCATTACAATTTTTAAATTAGCAACAAAAAATTAAATACACAGAAATTAAAACATTACCTTTCCTCCTCTGTAAACCCTCTAGATCACCAGTCTTCTTAAGCTTCTTCTTGGCACTGACTAGCTGACTGCTATCAAACAGATGAGCTGGTGGGACACCAGAAGAGTGCTGGACTCCTTTCTCCACACGTTTAACAAAGCTGTCACTTTTCTCTAAGGATTTGGTGGCATCTTCCTTGGAGGGCAAAGGTGGAGGTGGAGGTGGAGGTGGTGGAGGCAAAGGGGCTGGAAGCTGTTCTCCAGTAACAGTCTCCGGCTGAGGCTGATTACTGGTGAGTGGAGAAGTGCTGACATGGGGCAGTTCAGAGGTAACACCATTACGAGGCAAGGAGATATCCTGAAGTTGTTTTAAGCTTGTAGGTTCCTGCACTTGCAAAGGCTGAACTACACTTTCTGATTCCACCTCTTCACTTTTCTCTTGGATTTTTATGGTTGCTGGCAAAGATTGAGGCTGATTGACACAGGACAGTGAGCTGGCTGCACATTTTCTTTTTGCATGAGCCAGCCGTAGTCTGGTTGATTTAAGTATGACTTGCCCAGGGTATCGCTAAAGTGAATAAGGTATTGATGATTAGGTAAGTACATGCAATGAACTATTCTAGATTTTAAGTACCTGTCATTAGGTTTTGCCTTTCTGACAAATAACTTTCATTTTGCTCTGTACATAAAATCAAGGCAAAGATATCCCCACCTTTATTAAAAAAAAAAAAATCAATTTTCCTGATTTTTATTCTTAATTAAGCCACAGTTTGCATGTGATTGGTCTTCTCGGCGATATACATGGGTTGGTATTAGAATTTCTTCTAAGAACCAGAAGGTTTTTTTTTTTTTCCGGAGACTAAAATTCAAAATTCCGCCTTGCACTAGTCAATGGCTCCCTCTGAAAGTGTATGAGGTCTGTGAGACCAGTCAGAGTCTCCCTGACCTAATATACTGGCCTTAAATGTGAATCATACTGCTTTAAAAGGTATGTCTTGATAACATCAAACTTTTTAAGACTTTCAAAGTATTTAGTTCTTAAATTTGCTGCCTCAATATCTGTCTTTTCATATTAGTTTTGTCCATAGCCCTTTTCAGGCAAAAAATTAAACTGCTTCTGAAAGACAGGTCTAACATATTCTACGCAACTGTGGTAGGCCTAAAGCAGTAATATGTAAAAATATAAGCATTTTCATACATAAAGTATGAAGAGTTGCTGGTTAAAATAAGTAAATCTGCTTTAATTTACAGAAGTTACGCAATTCAAGAGCCTTGCAAACAATAAGGACATGAGGAGTGTATGCCGAACAAGACAACCTTCCAGTAAAGAAACTTCTCATACCTTTTTTTATATATTCAACAACAAAAAAAGGCTTCACCAATTAATAGAGTCTCTGTTTTCTTGCACTTTCAGCCCTTTCCTTATTCTTTCCCCTTCATTCCCCTTCACTCTACCCATTTTCTGGTGCTTCCATTGTAATAAGAAGGGGCAGGTATTGGCAGGTATTCTATCAATCAGTGGTAAGGGGTATGTCAGATGCTAATGCTCTACCATTTAGATTATACTTCTTCTAGGAACATTTGCTAAGTGTCTTGTCACAACGTATAGGTGTAAGAGTGAAGAGAAGTTTATTATGGCACTGGGAAGGCAACAGTGAGAGGAACCTGTTATCCTCAATGCCATATTTTGTTATGAATTTTCCTAAGAACAGTTAACTGCACAACGAAGCATAGTATAGTCCTGGAATTAGTGAAAGCTTTGCGAAGGAAACTGGCAGAAAAGAACAACTCTTCTTCTGTTACCTGCTTAAATGAACGAAGTCTGTCCAGTGTTTTCTGTCGTTCCTGACTAACCCAGGAGCTCTTTCTTTCCTCTTCATCTTGCAATTGATCTCGCTTCTGAGAAAATACATGGAAGACATGCAAATATTACATCCACCATTCTATTTGGCATAATTTAAAAAATTAAAGTAACTTTTCTACTACATGTCAAGAGTTACTTAAAAAGTTACTTTTCAAATAAACATATTTCCAAACTTCAAAAATTGGCCTTTGTCTTCCTCTTAAAAAACAGCATACATTTCCTGTTTCACGAAGGTCAGGAAAGAAATATTTCAATCTCCAATGGGAACACTTGGAAGACTTGCTGCCTTGAGAGATGAGAAATACCTGGACTAAGTGACAGAATGTTATGCTGAGAGAAGGCCCTTTGAATTAAAAATTGTATAAATTAGTCACACAGCAAACCGGTATCCATTTTCCCTCATTTCAAGAACAAAATGACAGTCCAAATTGCAAGGCTGACCTTTTAAGCAAGTCATATTAGTATTTTCACAGTACAAGAAATCACAGAACTCAGTGTCACAAGGTTTTTAATCCAATACTGAGCAAATTAAGTAGATGTTTTCACATTTACATTTACAACAGTAAATTTAAGTTTTGTATTAACTTAAGCTGTCATTATTTAATGTAGGTTGAATTAATGTAATTGCACTTAAGTAAAGGTTTGAAGCTCTTCCTTGTACCTAAGACAGCTGTGGGTTTTTTTAGGGGAGGAATCTTACCTTACTGAAAACACTCTTTTGGATCCATCTCCTTAACGAGTCATCCTTTCTCACAAAACTTCATCAAATTTACTACACGTTTGAAACAAACACTAACTTCTTAGTCAAATTTACTGGACATGGAAGCTAGTTAACAGATGGTGAAATTCACTGCATGCAAGTTCGGAAGCTATCAGGAAAAGTGATGTAAGAGCTGACTATAAAGAAAAAACCCTGAGCAGAAACAGCAACTTTAATTTTTAAAAGTTTCACAGTATTTAGTATTACTTTTAAATCCACATCTTCATAACTAAAAATTATGATCACTTCTGTGAACTTTGTACTGTCATTCAGTCAAAAGCAGTGTCTGCCTGCCTGACATTTTCATAAGTCAGCTAGTGGCCTGGTGTCCTTCATAAAGAGCCAACTCCTGTGATTTGTAAGGAACTAAGTATAGATGCACTAGGGAGAGAAAGAGGAGAACATGTCTGAAAAATAGTAAGGACAGGAAACAAGAAAAGGTAAGAGGAAGAGAAGCACGTAGTAAAAAGAAAGTAACAGAGCAATGGGGCAAAAATGTTAAAATAGAAGCATAAAGATTATAACAAGAAGAAAGAGTAGTTCTATCATCACACCTGAATGTTACATATGCATTCAGATTAAACTTCCTGAAGTAGTTGCAAACTCAAGGGGTTTTCTTTCTTTGTTTTGAGGTTTTTGTTTATTTTCGCTTGGCTTTTACATAAAACAGTGAAATTGCAATTCTTATTTGGTTTCAAATTTGGACTCTCCTGAGGTTATCTTTTCAAAATTCTTTATGAAAACCAGTGACTTAAAACCTATTTTACAATAATGTTAGAAATTTTCAGTCACATTATTAACAGAAAAACCCCGCACAGAATCTAAAAATTGGCATAATTCTTTACATAATACAAGCAGGTAACTCCATGATTTAAACCTCTGCAGTATCTGAGAGACAAGAAAGTCCTTTGGCTTTGTTGAGTCTTATTTTTAAGAGTGACAAATGGACTACAATCTGCACAGCAAATTTCTTTGCCTTATTGTAAGAACTGAAAAAAAAAAAAATTTTTTTTTAAATTCCTGAAAGAGTATTCCAATACGTACGGTCTTTGACAAGTAGCCTTTCCATAAAATAAATTATGCAGATGACTTCCTGGACAAATGTATCAATGTTAAAAATGTATAAGGATGAAACAGAATCACTTTCACTAATCCAACTGAACCCCGAATTAAAGAGACTTAGATTTCAATGTATCTTTGTCAGTGATCTTTATTAAATATTGATACTATATCAGCTCCTGGGACCAAGCCCAGAATTTGAATATTCTTTAAGATAAAGTCTACTGTGTTCAGTGTAAGGGTTAGACTAGTTAGCCTATCCTCTGCGATGAGACTATGCAGAGAATCGTGGAGCATACAGCTGGAACTAAACGTTTATATAACATAATTCAAGTAATTTCTTGTGTAGAAAGAAGAAAAACAATGAACAAGCTTATTAAGAGTTGAGAATAAATGTGTATAATTTCCTTACTCATATAACCTACCTTCCACTGTACTCAGAGCTGTCCAGAATCATCCATGTGTATGCAATAACAAACTGCATGCAGCTTACCCTAGCAGTAATCACTCAAACTGTACTTAGCATTAAAGGACTTTACTTGCTTGATTCCAGTGTCATCCTAACACAGATATATACTCCTCTTACCAGCATAATATGACACAGAAATCCATTGTGCAAAGGTCAGGGATACACACCATCTTTTTAAAAGAGCTATCACTCTGAATGCTCTCCTAATAAATGTATAATGAGGAATGCACGCTATTAACAACAGGCTAAACTCAACAGCAGAAAACTCAAACTTACTAGCTGAACAGTATGGTGCATTTTGTACTCCTCCTCACTCTGGTGACGCTGCTGGATCTTTTCATTATGCTTTGCAATACAGATCTCCTGTAGGGATGATACAAAACATTTCCTATAAAATACGTATTTCACATATAGCTTTACAGAGTATAATGTCACATTTAGCAAACAGCACCTAGAAAAATAAAAGCAACAAAGCCTATCTCAGACAAGCTAATTTAACTTACAATAAACTATAACTGAAACAAAGCCAAGCCAGACAAATCCAAACCTACTACTTTAACTGCTCAAAGAATATACACAAGTGACAGCTGGTTGAAAAGTCTGTTCTACAGTACTAGTATGAAAGTGGCAACAAACACCAATTTGTTGATATTTCACAAAGTCCTTGTTTAACTCCATGTATTTTCACACATGGATAATAACTAACTCTTGACTATACCGCATATTAATATTTATGCAAATAGAGAGCTTCCCATTTACAGGTGTCAGTTCATCTTTTGCATGTACAATCTGCAAGCACGAACATGAATAAAGCTGTTCAAATTTCATCATGTTCACTTCTTATCCTGAGTTCACATCTCTAACATCTGTTTAAAACCAAGCATATTGTCTGCAAATAAGAACAGATTAAAAGGAAAACAAAATAAAACAAAAAAACCAGACCATGTTACAATAGCTGACAAGGAACAGGATGACAGTCAAATAGCAGGCAGATAGATAACTTCATAGGAGAACACTGAGCGCTAGGAAATCAGACATGAGCTATGAAATTAGACCTGGTATAAGCACCACACAGAACAGAACTACAACAAAGTCAGATGTACAGTCATAAACAAATCTCATAGTTGTCTGAGAAGGTGCAGTGTTAGGAAGCAGCCTGGAGTATGACTTCAGCTAGAATATGAAAGAGATGGTGCTTCCCAGGCATCAGTCAGTGTGACCTACTGGGCAGATCCAGAAAAGAGCTTTGCCACTGAAAGCATTGCTTCAAGGAGCTGACAGAGTTATCAGCCACCAATCAAGGCATTACAGTTGTGGCAAATAGCACAAAAATAGGGACTGAAGGGATAAAAAAAGCTCACTATTTTGGACGCTTAAAAATGCAGAAAAAGTGATGTTCTCCTACAAGCTAACCATGGACATGCTATGATCACATAAAAAGGTAGTCAGCATTCCTGTATGGAAAAGGAATAGCATGCGGTCTTGAACGAGTCTGAACAGTAAGACCATCAATGTTGCTCCTGTATGCAGGTAACTGACAAAAGCAAAGCTGTCTGTGGCAATACTGTCCCAGCTTCATCAGAGGCATATCGCAGAATGGCTTGGACGGGAAGGGATCTTAAAGCTCGCCTAGTTACAACCTCCCTGTCACAGTCAGGGAATCTTTCACTGTATCAGGTTGCTCAGGGTCCCATCCAATCTGGCCTTGAACACTTACAGGGTTGGGGCATCCACAACTTCTCTGGGCAACTTATTCCAATGTCTCACCACTCTCAGTAAAGAATTTCTTTCTAACAGCTATCTAAATCCCTTCTAGTTTAAAACTGTTCCTCCAGTTTAAAACTATCCCCCTTGTCCACATAAACTATCTGCCCAAGTAAAAAGTCACTCTCCTTTTTATAAGCTCCCTTTAGGAAGGCTGCACTGAGGTGCAGGTCCCCACAGCCTTCTCTTCTCCAGCTGTCTCAGCCTGTCCTCATAGGAGAGGTGCTCCAACTCTCTGATAATATTCATGGATCTACTCTGAACCCTCTCTTAACACGTCCAGATATATATATAGTTAAACACTGGTGGGCTTCAGGTTCGTTTGTTTCTGTTTGTTTAGGTTAGTTTTTTTTCCCGGTGAAAAGAGTTACTCCAGGAAAGGTTAATCCATTTAATTTGTAACTGCAAAAGTACAAAATACCTCATCTCTGCATTTCAAAAACACAGCAATAGCTTCATCATACTAAAAGATTCAGAATGACTTTTTGTAATGCTACTACTGATTTATGTTTATAGTTTATTCTCTATTTAGGTTTTATAAAATAATGAGAAAATGTAAGTTAGGTTTGGGTTTTCTGACATGTCTCAAATACTTGAGGGGCACAATTTTATGTGATATTTTCTCTTTAGCATCAGTATTTAAAGCTTTTTGATTATGTGCAATAATGAGAGATGTTTTAAATATGTAAAGAGGATAAACCAGACCAAAATGTATTTGGTGCTGGCTTTGTATTAATAAACAACCTACTTTGATATAATTAGATCTCTATAACATGAAATAATAAAAATACTAGGAGGGGCTGGAAACGTTGCAGGACAGGATTAGCAATCTGAATCATCTCAGCTAATTACAGAAGTGGTCTCAGAAAAAAAAGAAAGGTTGCAATTTCAGAGGGACAAATGCAGGGTTCTACTTGTAGACAAGATTAAGTAACTCCAAACAAATGAAATAAAAAACAGCCAGATGGCAGCATTAAGAAAATTATCTGGATTATTACTGCAGATGACAAGTTGAACATAAACCAACAAACTCTGGCAAAAAAAAAAGTCCAAAACCATCATAATTGGGTGTATGAGCAGGAATGCAGCCTGCTGCACATATGAACTCGTCCTTCCTTCTCAGCCCTGGGAAGCAGGAGCATTATCACGGAATCATCAAGGTTGGAAGAGAATCATAGAATCATAGAAGCAGCTGGGTTGGAAAGGACCTCTGAGATCAAATACAACCCTTGATCCACTACCATCGTGGTTGCTAGACCATGGCACTAAGTGCCACATCCAGTCTTATCTTAAAAACCTCCAGGGATGGAGAATTCACCACTTCCCTGGGCAGCATACTCCAATTGCCTGATTACCCTCTCTGTAAAGAATTTCATCCTAATATCTAACCTAAACCTCCTCTGGCAGAGTTTAAGACTGTGCCCTCTTGTCTTACTGATAGCTGCTTGGGAGAAGAGATGTACAAGATCATCCAGTCCAACCATCTACCCAGCACTGTCACTGTAAACCCTAAACCACTAAACCATCACCCAGTGCCAGATCCAGATGACTCTTGGACACCTTGAGGGATGGTGACTCCACCACCTCCCCGAGAAATTACGTCCAGTGAGAGCAACACCTCAAGAAATACATTGATAAACCATATGGAACTGAGAAAGCAACAAGAAATAATGCTCATTTCTCTTTTAATCACCTGACTGATTTCATAGTATCAAACTGTACTTCTATTAAAGAGAAAAAAAGGGAGAGCTGAGGAACCGCTTCAAACCTTGTAACTGGATAAACTACAATGTTTAAGACCAGTAACATGTAATATATGTAAAAGATCTGCATTAGTGTTGTATTTAACTAGTTCCAGTGAGCCTTGCTTTCAGATTAAAAAACATCCCAAATAAAAGGTGAGCTTTTAAGCTATTAGAGAGCATCTAAAAGAGGGCAACGATGATGGTCATGAAGTTATGTCAGGAGAGGTTTAGGTTGGTTATTAGAAAAAGGTTCTTCACCCAGAGGGTGGTTGGGCACTGGAACAGGCTCCCCAGGGCAGTGGTCACAGCACCAAGCCTGACAGAGTTCAAGAAGTGTTTGGATGATACTCTCAGGCACATGGTGTGACTCCTGGGGATGGTCCTAAGGGCTGGCCTCAATGATCCTTGTGGATGATCCTTCCAACTCAACATATTCTGTGATTCTGTGATAAGCATTCTGTGTAGTTACACTCTTACATTGCTGTTGTTGTAGTAATAATAATAGCATACCAAGTAATCCTATGGCAGCTGTCACTACATCTACATAGCATCTATTTTGGCATGGGCTATGCTTTAAACTGTAGGCTTGCCAAGTCATAAAGGTGTCCTATTAAATGAACACAACAGCACGTGAGGAAGCTTCCTATATCAAAGCACATGTTATGAACACACCCCAAACAACTTCATCAACTAGTCTATTCGTGATAATGAACACTCCTCCATTCCATCACAACTCTATTTTTCCGAAGATATTTTTCTAGATATCTTCTACACCATTTTTTTCACCTTGCCTGTTTGCTATAAATCTAGCTCCCTAATAAATCAGCTGTTTTTTTCATATGGTAATTTAATTAATACTACTGTGCAGCCAGCAGGGGGTAGACTGGCATAACAACAGCAATATCCTGCATGAAAAATCTATAGCTAGCTTTCAATAAATGAAAGTGATACTGCTATTAAAAATTTATTTTTTAATAACTTATTTAACATCAACACAAGGGAACACCAGGAAATGATTGCTTAACAAATGCACACAGGTATGCATATTGTATAAAAAAATATGAGAATAAAGACCTTATACTCATGGTAATACAGTGAAAAAACATAAACCTCTGTAAAACCATGAATTTTAAAAACACTGGTTCAGTTATTCAGAGTCACAACTGAAAAATGTTTTTGATAAACAACTGTTAGCAACATTTCTAAATAAAGGTTTGGTACAATTATTTGACATCACTGAAAAATAAGTGCATCATCTGCAAAACAGATGCAAAATAGATCTTTTCTCAATAGAAAAGATTTTCAAATACCTGGATGATGAAATGACCTCCCCTGAAAAAATAAAACTGATTTCTTGTTGTTTCCTTAGTCCTGCTATCTGCTGCTAGAAAGGAGATATTCTCCTGAAGGCATCTTCAGTTGCCAAAAAACTAATACTGAGCAAGGACTGTAATTTCTAAATATATCACAAGACTGTGATACACACCATTTAATGCACAACACGCTTTTTATTTTCAACTACAGAACTGACAAGGTAAAAAAAAAAAAAAAAGGAGAGGAAAAAACTCCAAAACCACCACCAAAATCTCACCAACCCAATTCAAGTCAGAACACCTGTTTATTTGTTTTAAGATAATTCACTGAAACAAGTATGGCCAGGAACACCATCTGAAAAGCATTAAGAAGACTCTCATCTCAGTTCAACAACAAATGTTTCTTAACTGAGACAGACAGAGAAAGAGATTTACCACTCAGTATGTACTTTCTATATTCACTCTCCAAAAGTCACTTTTGTTCACACAGCGTTCAGTCATCACTGCCCTCATTCTCACCATCTAGAACTCACTTTTCTATCCCATATGTATCTTAGTTCTGCATGCTTAAACTGTGAACACTTCAGAGCAAGAATCCTTTTTTCCTCCCAGAAGTACTCACAACAGGCACCTCAAACAGTGTTCAATAACAATGCTTTGCAGTATCCCTAGAATGGTCACTGAAAATACAAAGCTTGTTTATGATGAGTCAAAGCCATGAGTCTTGATCTTCCAGTAACTGCCAGTAAGCTTAGCAGGGCTCTGCGTTATTCAGCAGTAAGAAGAGAAGCTACCAAATGGCTATGTTCTTTTGTGCCCAACCACTGCCACACAACAGGGCACAACAAGAGATTCTGCCTTTTCTTTTTGCTCACATAAAGATCTTCGCTGTTCCCCTGCAAGTTTAAACACACATTATTCTAACCTGTGATTTCTTCGGAAACTGAAAGCTAAGTTCACTGCAGCACTCAACTGCACATACTGCTATGCTGGGCAATTAGACCAGTAAGAGAACTGGAAGTAGTTCTGAGAGTGATGTGATATCCAGCCATCAAGTTCCACATGGAGGCATTACCTCATGTCCTGAAAGCTGTATAACCACATTCTTCCAGCACAATGTTGGGCACACATAACTATGTCACTCCTGCACGCCAGCACAGACAAGCAACACTACTATACACAACTCTGCCTCTTGTCACAGTGCAGAAGCAGGCGTGCCGCAACTAGTGTTACAGCCAAAAAGTAACTCCTTGAGCTTAAGCAAGGTATTTTATCATAGCATAACCTTGAAACAAATGAGCCACTGAAGGTGACTAGTTCATGATACACATAAATAGGTATGCTAAGAACTCTCTACTCCTGCTTCAGGGTTGCCTCTTGACCTGTTAGCTCCAGTAAGTTAGGTAAGGAAGAGCGACCAGGGCATCATTTTTAAACATGTTTGTCTACTTTGTAAGATGTTAGCAGTGTCTTTTCATATTCAGGAGAAAGTATCATAGCATAAGTAAGACAGGTTGTCCTGAAGACAGCTGGCTTCTGGAGCTTGTAGAAAGAGACAAGAATCTGAACAGCCCCCCTGTAATCCAGAAGGAAACAGTTAGGGACCTACTGAGCTGCTTGGATCCCTACAAGTCTATGGGACCAGATGGGATCCACCCAAGGGTGATGAGGGAGCTGGTAGAAGAGCTCGCCAAGCCTTTCTCCATCATCTACCAACAGTCCTGGCTCACTGGGGAGGTCCCAGATGATTGGAAGTTGGCAAATGTCACACCAATCCACAAAAAGGGCCGGAAGGAGGACCCGGGAAACTACAGGCCTGTCAGCCTGACCTCAGTGCCTGGCCAGGTTATGGAGCAGATCATCCTCAGTGCAATCACACAGCACCTACGGGATGGACAAGGGATCAGACCCAGCCAACACGGGTTTAGAAGGGGCAGGTCCTGTATGACCAACCTGATCTCCTTTTATGATCAGGTGACCGGCCTGGTGGATGAGGGGAAGGCTGTGTATGTGTTATGTCTGGACTTCAGCAAAGCCTTTGACACCACCTCCCACAGCATGCTCCTGAAAAAGCTGTCAGCCCATGGCTTGGACAGGGGCACTCTGTGCTGGGTTAGGAACTGGCTGGAGGGCTGGGCCCAGAGAGTGGTGGTGAACGGGGCTGCATCCAGTTGGCAGCCGGTCACTAGTGGTGTCCCCCAGGGATCAGTGTTGGGCCCAGTTCTATTTAATATCTTTATTGATCATTTAGATGAGGGGACTGAGTCCATCATCAGCAAATTTGCAGATCATAGAATCAGCTGGGTTGGAAGGGACCTTCGAGATCATCAAGTCCAACCCTTGATCCACTACCGCTGCGGTTACTAGACCATGGCGCTAAGTGCCACATCCAGTCTCTTTTTAAAAATCTCCAGGGACGGAGAATCCACCACTTCCCTGGGCAGCCCATTCCAATGTCTGACCACCCTCTCTGTAAAGAAATTCTTTCTAATATCTAACCTAAACCTCCGCTGGTAAAATTTGAGACCAACTAAGCTGGGGGGGGAGTGTCAATCAGCTGGAAGGCAGGAGGGCTCTGCAGAGGGACCTGGATAGATTGGAGAACTGGGCTGATTCCAATGGGATGAGGTTCAACAAGGCCAAGTGCCGGGTCCTGCACTTTGGCCACAACAACCCCCTGCAGCACTACAGGCTGGGCACAGAGTGGCTGGAGAGCAGCCAGACAGGGACCTGGGAGTCTGGATTGACAAGAAGCTGAACATGAGCCAGCAGTGTGCCCAGGTGGCCAAGAAGGCAAATGGCATCCTGGCCTGCATCAGGAACAGTGTGGCCAGCAGGTCCAAGGAAGTGATTCTTCCCCTGCACTCAGTGCTGGTGAGGCCACACCTTGAGTACTGTGTCCAGTTCTGAGCCCCTCAGTTCAGGAAGGATATTGAGGTGCTGGAGCAGATCCAGAGGAGGGCAACTAGGCTGGTGAAGGGACTCAAGCACAAGTCCTATGAGGGAAGGCTGAGGGAGCTGGGGCTGTTCAGCCCAGAGAAGAGGAGGCTCAGGGGAGACCTCATCACTCTCTACAACTCCCTGAAAGGAGGTTGTAGCCAAGTGGGGGTTGGTCTCTTTTCCCAGACAACTATCAGCAAGACAAGAGGGCATGGTCTCAAGTTGTGCCAGGGGAGGTTTAGGTTAGGTATTAGAAAGAATTTCTTTACAGAGAGGGTGGTCAGACATTGGAATGGGCTGCCCAGGGAAGTAGTGGATTCTCCGTCCCTGGAGATTTTTAAAAAGAGACTGGATGTGGCACTTAGCGCCACAGTCTAGTAACCGCAGCGGTAGTGGATCAAGGGTTGGACTTGATGATCTCGAAGGTCCCTTCCAACCCAGCTGATTCTATGATTCTATGATAATACAGCCTATGCAAATTAGCTTAACATGAAAGACAGGTTCTGTTCCTTAAAATACTAAAAAGTCCAGCTTCTTGATACTTCTTTCTCTTTACCAATTCTAGTAAAACAAACACAAGGCCTCCGAGCAAGCTACTTCCCGTAACTGGCTAACAAGAGATCTTTCTTTTAACACTTTATTTGCAGTCTTCTCCATATTTGGTTAATCAGAGACAGAACAGTGACTGCAGAAACATAAAAGATCCAAAATATAAAATGTAGCAACTACTGTTTCATTTGCTCTTTTATGCTTCAGATTTAGGTACAGAAATACATATATTAGTTTGAAGGGGAGGCAAGACCTGAACGCTTTACCCTCAATCTCCTAGAATTCTTTAAAGGGGTCGTTTTCCACATAAAGGGACATGACTGGGAACACACAACCAAAACCAGCTACTGATCCCAATCCAGAATGAGGCCTCAACTGACATTAGCCTTATATTACAAGCATGGCATGGAACCTATTTGCTAGTAAGTATTACAATGCATAGCTAGGTTTACAAATTAAGACTACAGATTGGATTTCATATATATCTGGTAAATACAAAGTATCAAAGACACATGGTGTAAGTTTAAAAGGATGAGGTACATGAATGAAAATAGAAGACATTAGTGAGAAAACACCCATAAGAATTCTCTTCTGTAAACATATATAAAACTACTTTCTGTAAAAACATGCATTCTAGCATGTACTTCCCACATGAAAGTATTCTAACTAGTTAGTAGAAATAAGTTTATTTGTTGACTTCAAAGTAATTAAAGGTTCCTTTAAAGCTAGAAGGTAAACTGAATCTTAAATATATCAATTTAATAATACATGCTACTTTATTTGGTGTTCTGTAAAACAACTTTTAGTAAGTAGTAAATAAATATAATCCACAAAAATTCTGGGAGACTTGGAAGTTGTATCTGAAATGAAACCTTTTGAAGTTTTATTAAATTTGCTAATTATGTTTAAAAAAAGGCAATTAAATAATACCTTCTTATTTCTGAGGTAGGCTTTCTTGGCTGAAATACGTCCACGCCTTGCTTCCAGCTGGCGGATTTTTTGTTGTAACTTTTGTAGCTCCTCTTTTTGCAAGTGTATAGATGTTGCCATATCTTCTTTTTCAAGCATGGCTTCCATACTTTCATAAGTGTCATAATACACCACTTCATCTCTCTTCTCTGTTTTAAAGATGTCAGCAATTAAAAAAAAAATCAAATCAATAGTTTGTATTTGATTAATATTTCATTTTTCTCAACGACCACCCTCCCACTGAGATGCAAAATTTAATGGAGAAGAATGCTACAGCTCTTTCAGAGGACAATCAAAAATCAAGAGGAAAAGTACTAAACAACAAAGCACTACAGGGCTTTAAAGTTTGTATGAGGAACAGAAAATAATACCAATGAAGCTCAACCTGCTATTGAGGCAAGCTCAGAGCATTAAAACACAAATGCAGCTGTAAATGTACATTTGTTATCTGTACCCTAATTTAAACACAATGTCCATGCATGACTTTGGGTCCCTTGACTAACGCAAGGGACTCATGATGTGCAGTAATTTCCTCTGGTCTTCACCATGAAGTTCAGGATAGACAGTCTCTTTCTGAAGTCTCTGGCATGAGACTCTTCTGTTACAACCAACTGTTAATTTCATGTAAGGGGAATCAGACAACAAGACACTAAAAATCGTCTCTTAGTTTTTTGATGTCCCAGTCACTGCTTCTGGGAAGGAGGGAGGAAACTTCAAGGCAATCCTTCAAAGCACTACTGGCCTGGCAAGGAGGTAATTACTAATAGTTTTATCAACACTCATGATTTTTAGCTTCCTGAGTGAAGCATTCAGAAGAACACTGAGGTCATCTCTGAATGTTGCCTTCTCATCTCTTGCCAAGAAGGAAAGAGTGATGATTACAAATCCTTGCAGAATGTTGGGATGAAAAAGCAGCAAAGACCTCCTGCTCTTTATTTCACTGGCATATGAAGTAGGATATATTTGTAATACAACAAGAGGGACATGCATTACAGTGCTGTCTGAAATAGGCAGATGCAGTTGGTATGACTGTCAAGTGCCTATTCCACAGCACCACCAAACTTTTTTATTTCTACTTCATCAACTACTTTCAGCAAGACTATACTTTCTTCTACTTCAGCTACTACATTATTTGGGGATGGAAAGGGTTTTGTTTAGTTGTATACTGTCCGTTTTAAAAGCTGTTGTCACTTCATGTTAATTGTGTGTACAGTCTCTGCTACAACCAAAATTATTACTGTCATGCTAATTTCAGCTTAGTAGAAGTCATGGCAGGGACAGAGAAGAAAGCATAGTAATACATTAATCCTAAAATAAAAAGTAGCAAAAACATACCCAACAGATTCTTTACTTCAGTGCTCAGTTTAAAAAATAAAACTACGGTAAAGTTTCATCAATACATAAAATTGCCAACTCACTAGAACTCCCTTTGAGGTATCACCAAGTAAGAAGATTAATGACTAATGATGATATTTCACCATGCACTTATAAAATGGGAGAATTTAGGTACAAATTTTGGTTGAGGACATTTTCATGCAGAGTTAAAGATGGAAATACACAAGTTTATCCACCACAAAACCATTTTAAAAAGAATGTACTAATACTTCATAGGGTAAGACAAACCCTTATAACTTCTAACCTAGTAAAGTCTCATCTCATGAATTTCAATGAAGGTATTTGCTTAATGACAGTAAAAAATCACTACTATTGTTCATAATATGACAATCTATTATCACTTGATACTTATCAGATCCAATATGCTGAAATTGCAAAGATGTTCTTCTTCTAGCTTTGAACCAACTAGCAGTCAATTCAAATTACACTCTCAAAACATTCTTTTGAGAGCTCTCTGAACTATCTCTGCAGCAACAATACAGTCAATGACAAAAGGAAAGCAACAGCGTCTACATGGCTTACACACATGAATTCCAAATCATATAGATGTGCTATCAGTACGCTTTAAAAAGAAAGTGTAACAGAAGGTGAAACAGACCATGCTGTTCTTTTGACATCATAGGAAACAACACATATTAAAAGACCACTATAAGCTTTAGGTGCTTTAATTCAGATTTGGTGTTGAACAGTCTCAAACATATGTAGCCAGTTCAGCATAACATTATTCTTCACATTAATTGTTCTATTCACCTAAGTAAAGTCTGAAGAGGTAGTTTCATCCTTTGAACAATCCCCACGTATTTAAGAACTGTACTTTTCGTTGTCTGTCCTACAGGATAGTTTTAGATTTATCATTAAACAATATTTCTAAAATTCAGAACAGCAAAGGAAACCAGAACAATGAACTATTTTGCTGACATGAGGGAAGAAGGAAGGTGGTTGTTTAGCTGACTAGGGGGTTTGTTTTATTTTGGATCAGGTTGTGGGCTAGGGGCTTTGAGATTTCTGGAGAAAACATTACTGACAAGTCAGAACGATGCTTTTACAGAACACTTAATCTCTGAGGGCCTATACTATCACTACATCAAAGACAAGGAATTTTGATATACTTTCCTTCTCAGTCTCCCATTCAGGGATTTTTCTCAGTCTGTAAATACGCAGACCATACCATGTCTTCAGTACCAAAATTACATGCCTGATTTCCCATGTACAAAATCTACCTCAAAAGCACTAACCAGCTCTTCACAGAACCACCCAGTCAAAGCTGCCACATTTCTATAAGTCATTTACAGAGTTTCCAATCCTCATCTTCCATACTTGCAGTTAAATTTGTTTCCATCACAAGCCTTAAAGGAGGAGATACACGTAACAGTGAGAAGAATCCACGATACCTGTGTTTTCTCCTTTTCCAGAGGCAACTCCCAGTAAAATCCAACTTCAAATCTCTTACAAACATCAAACAAAAATGTGTCTAAAGAATAGAACTGAATTCAAAAATCCTGTACAATTTACCTGTACCATTTCCATAGTTTTTAAGTACGTGAGGTATACTAGGTTCTGCAAACATAAGGTTTGCATTGCTGCTCTAAATCTGAGATAGCAATACAAGGTTTGGAGTTTAGCAGAGGGACTCCAATTTGCAGAAATACCTTTGGAAAACCAATCACTTTCAAGAAATGAGTAGTACCAATGCACATTTTTAGTTAGACAAGTCTAGTAATTAAGACATTTCTCCTTCAAATTTAGGTTTTCAAAACTTAATACAGTATCCTATATGCTTACTTTCAAATACAGGCAATGGGAACCATACCAAAACCTCTGTATTTGTATGCATAATGCCTTTTGCGCAGGTGTAAATTTTAATTTAACAGTACCTACCTTAGAAGATGCAGCTCTTCACATAGCACAGAATTTGTTCTCATTTCATTCACACAGGCTTAAGTAGACTCTTAGGAAGAAAATTATCTTTCACAGATTATGTATTAATTAAAATAAATAAAGCACCTGACATCAGTCTTCTGATGCTTTCGAGTTGTGCTGTCAGCAGCAGCTCTTCACATTTCAAGATCTCAAACTGCACTTCATATAGCTGAAGCTGTAGATCATAATAATCAGCTTCTAATTGGTCCAAATGGGCTAAGGCTTCTGTACCACCTTTCAGGCTCTGCATCTAAATGAAAAGAGGAAAAAAAACAACCAAACAAACAAAAAACATACAACTCCAGGATAATGACATGAACAAAACCACAGACTTTACCATTACAGCTAAATACTGTTTGGTACACTAAATGTAACATATTAAAATGTTATGAACCACACACTTTAAGACATTTTACTTATCTGACATTTTTTTCTATATGGCAATGAAAAAACTCCATGGCATTGTATTACACTTTGTGACTGTCAGAGTAACAAGTCATGCACTGCATAATGTGGAACAACCCTCACACTCTTTTACTCTACTACCTGATTCTTTGAAAATACATAAGGAAATTAAAATTTTATTATCATCAATCCAAAAAGTCTAAAAGTTATTTTGCTATTGGCATCTAGAAGGGTACAGTTAAAACTGTCATTAAAGCTGAACCGAGGAAAAAATGTGAAAGGCTGTGGAAACAGGCATAAATATATGTACCAATCCCCTTGTAAAGACAATTTAAACTCAGGAGTTTCATTGTTTATGGAGTCCTTCAAAGAAGAATAAATATATAGATCAAAATATTTATATTTTAGTTCTTATTTGTGTTATATGCTTGACACAGAAAAGTGACACAAACAAACAAAGTGAACTGCAACCATTCTCTTTCATACAGTCAAACAAGATTTAACTGTTCAATAGTTAGCCATTCAGACTATATTAAAGAAATATCAACATGTAAGGGGATCTTAAGTGCTGTCTCACTTTGGAGGGAATTCATGCAGCTCTACAACCTGCATTCAGAAGAATTAGGGCTACATCTAAGTTCTCTACCTGCTCAAAAAAATGTGTATCTGATAGTTTTTCCTCAGACAACGGATGTCCTGTTTCATATAGCAAACATTCAGTCATTATGAAGAGATGTCTACCCAGTAAAAATACAGGACACAGCAAAAATTTTAAATATATCTGCTAGAATGTTTTTTACATTATGGTGGTTTCTCCAAGGTGTAAAACTGCATCTGCAATGAATGGCCACAAATGGATTCCCACAGTTTTACTTATCACATGTTTAAATACAACTTATACTAAACTAAAAAGATATCTGTACTGAGTTAAACCAATGATCCATTTTACTCAATACCCTGTTTCAGAAAAAGGCTAACTGCAAATATCCAAGAAGATGAAACATAGTAGGCCATGTAGTCATACCTCCTTAAAATGTTTCACCAGCATCTAGCACAGCTTGCAGCACAGCTTAAGCCATGGTGCTGCCTTTTAAACAAAACAGACTTATCGGATTTAATTAATAAGTTTGTCCAATCCCTTTTTTTAGGCATGTACCTTTTAGCACCTACATCATTATCTATTGACAGCTCAATTAAACACAAACAGTTCCATATACTATGCTTATTTCCCTATAACACTGCTAGACAGAAGACCTGTGAATCAATTCTTGTAACTTCTATTTTAAAAGTTTCTTCTACTATATTGTGTATTTACTAAATGCACCTTTTGCACATCAACTATTAGTCTGAAAAGCTCAGTAAGTTCTTAACTGAATAGCACAAATCCTACAATCAATAACATATTATGTATTTGTTTTAGTCTAGTGTTACACAAAATGTCTCGTTATGCCATTATTACTCTGCATCCATATTAAGTTACTAATTGTAACCAGAACAGTAAATGACACAATGATAGCATATTTGGAGTGAATTAGAGACTGCTTTTCAAGCAAAAGGACTGATTCTCTTGAACTCCCCACGTTTTGCACATAAGAGGGATAGTGCACATTGTTCAGGTAGGGCATTGGCATTTGGGCATTTTTCGAGGTTTTCAAGCTGTAAAAATGCAATAAAATTTGGTAGGTTTTGAGGTGGGAAGTGTTTGTTAGGTTTTTAAACTAAGGTAATGTCATTCAAATTTGACCACACCTAAGAATTATGCTTTATCGGTGAACTGTGAAATTAACTCAAACTTTCACATTCTTTTTTCTTAAAAAAAAGATGTTCCCAAATTTAAATCTACAGTCTTTGTATAAGTACTGAATAGACACAAAGACATGAGCAGACTATCTTCAAAAGTACCAGCTTATCAAGTTACAGCAGCTATTTCATTCAGTTGCACTGGCATCTGCCTGACAAAGGAGCTGACAACGGTATCTAAGTCCTGTATACAGCATATATTACAGATGCTGCTAATTACCTGCTCTGTTTTAGGGGTACAACACCACTATATTCAGATTTCAGGTGCAACAGAAATGGGAAATTTCTACTGTATGGTTCCTGAACAGATAACCTAGCTATATAATACACCAACAGTGCCCTTAAAAACTGTCAGATCTGATCTTTGTATCGAATTGTCATTCTTTCTCAGCTCAAATCCAGGTATATTAGTTTCTTGGGCATTTTAGTATTTTTAAAGGAATATCCTGGTTTTATCTTTTGGAATATAGTAGATAAATGGTTTGCCAGAGAAGGTATTTCAGTTCTACAAATATTTTCTTTACAAGACTGCAACCCTTCTTCTCCAAGATGGTATTCCCAGCCACTTTTTCACATTCAACTCGGTATACTTAAAGCTTTTACATTTTCAAAACAAAAGATGATGTTTCAGATCAGAAGCTGACTGATCGTCATATCTCCCTATCACCATGTTTAGGCCTAGAGCTCTCTATGCCTTGTAATACACCACCTGAAAGCACCATGTCCATCAGATGTTCCTTATTTCTCTGTCTCCTGTGCAGCCTTTAATACTTTTGCATTTCAAAACAAACAATATCCATTTACCAGAGTGAGATCTCATTCAACAAAAATTCACAGAAGGTCTACACTAGATGCACTATGGAAAACATGATGCATGGTTACTCTAAATACATGAACATATTCAATATCTTCTAATTAGTACTGCTGGACTGGCTCATCAGCTCTTGGCTGAAGATGGCAACAGCCTGATACACTTAGGTTTCCAGACACCTCTTGAATTTCTAAATCTGAAGACCACTGAAACACAGTAAACTTATTTTTGTGCTCTGGGTCTTGCATGTATTCTCTCTTCCTTGCAGATCAAGCTGTCTTCTACAGAGGCTCCTAAAATAGGCACACAGTCTATCAGGCTTATAAACCTACTAGCCTATACAGTGCTAAAGTTGTGAGTTCTCTGGATAACATAGGCACCAGTTTAGTCAAATTTTGCCAAAACATTTGAAAAGTTCTCTTAAAACAAGCAATTGATTCGACAGAACATACATTAACATTAGTGTGACAGAAAGTTCTTAGCACTGAATATCCATTTGATAGCAAAGTTTAAAAAAATGATTTGTAACATTTTTGCTTTTGAGGAAGTGTCATAAAACCCAATAAATGTGGATTTTTTTTCTGTTAAGACATTTAAACACAGTTTCATGCCTGCACTCTTTCCTCAGGAAGATTGCCCTAATAATCAGGATAAGCAGAGAAAGTGATTGCAGTACAACCACATAGTCATTTGTATATTTAGTCATGTTCAGATACCTTCCATTTGGAATGTCAGAACTATTCTGAAAAGGTGGTCATGCCTCTGAGAGCTAAACTGTGAAGATTACATAGCAGCACATTTCTGTCCTATCCCTTCTCTTCATTTCACTCATCTCAGCGGACAGCTGTAAGCATTAACAGTAAAAACAGAATTTCTGGCTGACTAACCAGGAAAAGGTGAACAGAAAACATACATAAGTGGCACAAAACTCACCACGTCTACATTGCAACATCATTTGTCTAACATTTTTTTCCTGCCTGTTTTTATTTTCTATTTATTGGCATGAAAAATTACCTCCTCTTTCAGCGCATGTTTCTTCTGCTCCAAACAGATTTCTTTAGCACGCATCAATTGCAAAGTCTCCTTAGAAACCGCATACTGAAGCTTTTCCATACGTTCCACTGCTGCTGCCCATGCTGCCTTACCAAATTTTTTCTGATCTGCTCGCATTCGATCATACACAGCTACAGAAGGGAAAAAGAGGCAGGTGGCTTACTTGTCTTCTCTTTGGATCACTACTGACTCTACTGCAGAGAAAATGCATATATTTGTACCTGAAAGCATACACAGTTCTCTTAGCAGGGAGTAGTCATTCTACAGAGTACTAACATTAAAATCCAGGATGCAGGTACTCTTAGGATTCACATAAAATGCAATTAGCTATTTGTTGATAATTTTATCATTATAATTCCAATCTTTGTTATCCACAGATGGACTATTCTGAATATACAGTACCTAAACACTTGAGCCGTAGGTTCAAAATTCTTGACTTAATAAAAAACTCATTAATGGTACCATGTGGTCTTAAAATGCATCCCCAGTTTTCCTCACTTCTGTAATCCGCTACTGCACTCTCCCTTAGTAACATTCATAGTGCAGTTAAAAGTTTAAATAGATCTGAAGAGTGAAAAAAATTACAATTTAAAACAAAAATTACAGCTTAACCTCAAGTAATTCTGTAAGAATACTGAATTAAATTTAAATAACATCTATCTTTGAACTCAAAATGCAGGAGTCCTTTGCCTGATTCAGATTCACTATTTCTAGGTTGACACACACGAGATTTTCACCATTGTTAAGACAGAGAACAACGATATGATACTGTACACTTAGCTCTGGAAAGCAAAAAGCACAAAAATCACTGAATCAAAGAGTTAGTATTCAGTCCTCACATGCTAGAAGATATTACATGCTGCTGTTAGGTAATAAGAAACACCTTTACGTTCTCATGTGTTTTTCCTCTGCCATCTGTTAGTATTTTGGCATGTAAGCAAGATCATCCTGTGATCAGCAGGAGACCAAGAAAAACGCAAAACAAAACAGGCAAGCAACTTGTATACTAAAGGTCTGTAAACAGTCTCGAGGCATTTCACTTTTCACTGTTTTTCTCCACAATCCTGACTGTTGTACATAAAAAAAAAGCACATCAACAAAACAACCAGTAAGTATTTGTGAATTATCAACTAATAGTGTATTTTATTTGCTGCCTTTGTCATACTAGAAAATGAGCGAAGCTGATTAATACATTCAGAATTTGCTCTAATTAAATTACTTCCAACATGCTTTAACCAGTTTAGTCACTTTTTCAAACTAAGCTGAAGTTTCGCATTATCCTTGAGTTGCCACCAAAAAGAGTAATTTTGCAGTGACTGCTTCTCTTGAGGCAGTCATGCAGGGAGAAAACAGGAAACTTACCAATCAAAAAAGGTTTTCTCCTACAGCTCATTTATCTGATTGAGAATCACTATAACCAAGGCAAAGAAAGAAACAGAGACCTGCAGTCAGGCAGGGGTAGACAGCAGGACAAACTCTTGTCAGTGGTGCCTGCAGTCAAACTAAAAAAGGTGACATTAAACCTCATTCTCAGGTATAAACTGATAAACTGATTATTTCAGTTAAAATGGTACAAGGATGAAAGCACAGATATCCATGGCAAGTCATATGATCTGGTTTTACTGCATAAACTACTTAGTAAAACCACACCATTCTTTAAGCACAAAAATGCCAAGGCTATATCAATGAAGACTTCTAAACAACAGAGCAGGTTTCAACTGAGTAGTTAAACTGAGCTGTTGCTTAATATTTAGAGCTATGAAAAAAATTACTGAGAGGCAGGGGAGACAGAAGAAAATACAGACTGGAAGCTAATGAACACTTACTACAGGTGTCGGCCATATCCAGTACGGAAAACAGAATCTATGCTTCCTAAATCCTTTGCAAGTATACAGTGCTGCTAATACAATCACACTGAGAGAGTGGCTGTAAAACTTTTATCTAAATGTCTGTTCTCCTCAACTCTTATGATGTTCTAAAAAGGCTTACTGACGAAAGATTCATTTAGACACAGAACAAAAACCAAACAGGATTAATAACTGCATTTTCCTTATGGAGGATTGATGAAAAAAATAATTCACAGTACAATGCAGAACACTGTAAACATTAAATAATTTAATCTTTTATGTGATGGATAGGATGGCAGAAAATAACTACCTTTCTGTGTTTTAGCTGTTATTTCGAAGTATTTGACTGTAAGGTCTTGAATAGAAAGCACAGCCATGTGGGCTTTTTTCTGCCAATCGGCATCTTCTTTTTGCAGACTCTCAATTCTTCTGGGGCCTAGATAGTCATTCTCTATTGAGATCTGAAAATAAATCAGTCCATAATTAACAACACAATTAATTGCAGTTATTCTGCCAACAGCAAACAGTTTCAGGGTAACCAAAAGACAAAAATTAAAAAGGAGATAAATTACCAACATATCACCACAGCTTCTATTCAACAGTAAAAAACTCTTTGGAAGTGCTCCCTTGTCTTGAAAAAGTACATCCACATTTCATAACTGGAAGCGTTATAAACTTATAACTTACAATAAACCCAAATGTAAGTTTGATTTGTCAGCACCTTTTTGTTAAGTATCTTATTACCTGCAGATAACAAGCATACTTCATCCAGGCTTTCTTCCAGCCCGAAGTATTTAATTCTGAAGTAAATAAATGCTCTTCAGTCAGAACAAAGCTGGAAAACCAGGGATGTGTTAAAGTAGTGGTAAGTAATCATCAATATTTTAGTAGTTTTGTTTTGTTAGAGATGACTTTTTAAAATGTATTTTCCTAGTGCCTTAGCAGCTCAAATATCCTTTCATTGCCAAGATCAAGGCAATTTTATTTTGAGATGACAACTGTCTGAAGCCAGTAAACAACCTGGAGTTAGTTTTAAAGATTAATGAAAACATAGATTTGTCTCCCAAAACTGAAAATTTTGTCCCTCTACAGACAACATACTTATATCTTAATTAAAAATTTGAGCCTGCTCATGCAATACCAAAGTCTTAATTTTGAATATTTTTCATTTACATCAGTCAAGAAGACACCTCGCTAGTTCAGACAAAACCTCTCAAAACCTATAACCTTGTATGTCCTCAAATATTTCAAGCTGAAGTTCTAATGCTTTGAGTATTACTCCTGGTTTCACAAAGCTTCTATCTGGTCTAAGAGAGCCATTCCACCCTATAATTTAATTGCAAATGAAAGGGTTTTAAGTGACATTTAGGACCCATCTCTCCATATCCATTTGTCCCATCTCTTAGAGGGATGATTTTTACGAATAAAAATTTATAGCTGCCATCTAAGTACTTGTTCATTTCTTGAAAAATGTTTCAAGTAGCTAGGTATTTTAATCTACTCCTTATTTCTAAAACCCTTAGAAAGGCAATAGGCAAAGTATAATGTGGACAAGTGGTGAGTAACAATTTTAACTAGATAGGCTGTAATGTGTAATTCAATGGAGCATGTATGTCCCATGATTCCACAAGCAATACTTAGGAGCAGAGGAACAGGAATTTCCAAATAAATGTCAAACTGTAAATATAAATATAAATAAATAAATAAATAAATAAATATACACCAGTGAATGATGACTGGTGAAATTAATGCTTTCCATTTACACAGAACTCTGAAACAGCAAGTTCTTTGAGAAGCTGGATAAAAACCAACGCAGTTAAAAGTCTTCCTTTTCTATCCCTTGGTAAAGGTGAGGTAACTTGAGACTGACAGAATCACTGAGTAAAGTGAATAACGTTGTTAGGCATGAATTCCAGGAGAGCAAGAAGCCTCAAAGTAACATTTTCTCATAAAGTTTTGCCTGCCAAAACATTATTCACACATGGTGTAAACTGAAGAGATTTACAATTCCATAATACAATTGTATCTTTGTTCCTTAGAGCAAGTATTTACAAGTAACAAAAAAGGGAAGCATCTTTCCATTAACCGCAATTCCAAGTATGTCATCCATACCACCATGCACACTGAAGGTATTCATACAGCAACGCAGAGAAAACCCAATAAGCCTTTGCTTTAGCGATACCCATACAAGTATGCATATCTATGTGCAACCACAAGCACATGGTCATAAAGCTCCTGAAAAGCTTCAGAAACTGAGGGAATGAGGAAAGGAAGAACTTGGGCTTGTAAACATGTTTGAGTACGGACCAGTTCAACCTGGTACAGCTACTGAAGTGTCCATTCCCTTTCACTTTATCCAGCTGTTCACACACTCATTCACATCCAAAAGACACCAAGCAGAATACTCCACAAATAACTACAGTATGGAAGGAGATTCCCAAGCAGCTGCATGAACAAGAGCACCCCACATCTTTCCTTAAGGCTGCAGCAATAAAGGCATGCTTAACAGAAGCCTGAGAGGAGGCCTAGAAAGATAAAAACGATAGAAGCGTTTCCTTAATGTTGCTTGGGCTGACCTGCCTTCATGCTTAGGCCACACCTACAAAGCTTGTTATCAAGCCAGACAGTCAAACTAGTGAGCGTAAACATGAACTGATGAAGATTCTACTACAAGATACTTAAAGAACAATCAAAAGACCAAAGGTAAAGCTAATGTTCATGTTTGGACTTGGCATTCTACAGCTTGGAAAAGGTACACACACACATACACAACATTAACTTTCTGTCTCTGAAGCCACAAAACAATGGAGAAAGGATGTCTTGGTTTTGGCTGGGTTAATTTTCTTCATAGTAGATGGTATAGGGCCATGTTTTAGACTTGTGCTGCAGTGTTAGTAATAAAAGGATATTTAGCTATTGCTGAGTAGTGCTGACACAGAGCCAAGGCCTTTTCTGCTTATCATGCCACTCCACCAGAAAGAGACTGACGGTACACAAGAAGTTGGAGTGGGACACAGCCAGGCCAGCTGACCCCAACAGACCACAGGGACATTCCATACCATATAGCATTGTGCTCAGCTGAAAGAAGCGGGGAATGTTCAGAGTGATGGCATTTGTCTTCCCAAGTATACTGTTAACCATTATGGAACTCTGCTTTTGTAGAGATGGTTGAACACATGCCTGCCCATGGGAAGTAGTGAATGCATTCCCTGTTTTGCTTTGCTCACATGCACAGCTTTTGCTTTACCTATTAAATTGTCTGTATGTCAACTCATTAGTGTTCTCACTTTTACTCTTCTGATTCTCTTGGCCCCATCCCACTGAGTTGGAGTGAGCAAGCAGTTGTGTGGGGCTTAGTTGCCAGTCAGGGCTAAGCCATGACAAGGAAGGAGGTCTCCCTGTTGCAAAGGGAACGTCAAATCTACAGGTGAAGACAAAATCTAGGTGCTAGTGGGGAATAGTCTTTGACAGATGAAAAACCCCAACTGTTTTCTTAAGAAAGGTGACTAGCTAGGAGGTAAGGATGAACCTTAAATTGAAAAGTTTGTTCCCTTTCCTTCTGAAGTTGTTGGACCAGAGTACCACACCCACAAACACTCCACAGCTATGACAGCCTGAGACAACTGAGGTTCAAGGTGACAAATTCAGAACGAGAAAGTTCAAGAACAAGATCCTAGCTTCTAGTCTGATTCCTGAAGTAACAATCCTCAGTCACAGAGAGATCTGTTACCCTTTGGAACCATGAAAGAAACTATTTAATTTTGGGAAAAGCAGACTTGTCAGAAGGAGACTCCAAAATGGTGTTCAATTAATAAAGTCTGCACTGCATCCTTAAAGATAGGTCCATGCTTCCCATATTTGTTTCTATTAGGTCAATGACTTTCTGAATAAATAAGAATCCTATTTGGTTCCTTGAAAGTTGCAGTCTCTCGAGTCTAGCTGTCTGCTACTCCCTGCTTCTCACAGTAGGCTTGTGTTCCTGCCCAAGCTTGCTTTTCTGGGTTTGCCTGACTTACACGCCCTGCAGCCTCTGAGAGTATCTCCATTGACCTGAATGTGCTCCAATGCTCCCTGTGGGAAAAGCAATCTTTTCCCAGCCAGTCAGTCTGTTCCACCTGATTCAATTTCTCCATCAAGAAAGTAAAAAAGAAAACTAGTTATTGAAAAAAGAAAAAAACAACACAGTGTAAAAGAAAATACTGATAGCAACCTTTCCAAAGGTAATTACTGTCCTTCTTCATAATCAAAACCAAATTAACTGTGACAATCGAAAAGATAAAGGGCATGCAAATAGCCACTTTCAGACTTGTACCTGGCACACTCCTGGGAAACTCGAAAAAAGATGGTTATCTTGTGAGTGCAAATACTGACAATCACCAGTCACTCAAGAGAAAAACTACCAGTTTAAATTACTATTGTCCATGCTAGATATGAC